TATTTTCTTCCTTTGGACTAATTCATTCCAAATTCAGAAATCCTTTGGGACCTGAAAAAAGTGTTCAGCATCCACCACTTGTTGAATCAAGGAAGATTCTGTTAGCGCCGTTACACATCAAACTGGGGCTGATGAAGGAATTTGTCAAGGCCATTGACAAAACACAAGCAGCTTTCAAGTACCTCCGTGGAAAATTTCCAAGGTTAAGTGAAGCTAAGATAAAGGAAGGTGTCTTTGTTGGTCCTCAGATTCGTGAACTTCTTCGAGATGATGCATTTGACCATGCACTGCGTGGCAAGGAAAAGACGGCATGGAAAGCCTTCGAGTTAGTGGCAATAAATTTTCTCGGATACAACAAGGCAGACAACTACAGGTTGTTGGTGGAAAACCTCCTCAAGGCATACAAACACCTTGGTTGCAACACGTCACTAAAGATACATTTTTTGCACTCTCATCTAGATTTTTTTCCACCGAGCTGCGGAGCAGTGAGTGACGAGCACAGCGAGCGATTTCACCAGGACATTGCAACAATGGAGAAACGCTATCAGGGCAAATGGAGCCCATCAATGCTTGAAGACTATTGCTGGACAGTGACAAGAGATGCTCCATTTAATGAATACAAGAGACAAGCCAAGAAGCACTGAGTAGACACTGAATAGCTATGTACAGAATAGTTTTTTGCCTTTTGTTGCATAATAAATTTTATTTATATAACCTTTTTGCTGATTTTTAAAGTGTTACATAAACAGGACAGGTGAAATATTATCATGTAAAGCAACCATAAACACATGAAAAGATCTAGCTTTACAATTTATGATTAAAACTCTACTATCTACACAATATACATAGACATAAAATGTAAAAACTTAAATATCTTAGAAACAGTAGCCAATCAGTTGTTTTAATTGTCATATTTGAATTCAGCACATCAAAATACATAATAAATAGCACATTTTATCTCTGAAGCAGATGACTTCTCAAAAATTGTAGACCAGGGCAATTTATCAGTAATTTTGGACATAGCCTCCTGTGATAAATGAAGGGGGTGGGAGGGACTCCCTTTTATAGGCACCCAGCCAGCCAGTTAGCTATAAAATTCCTCTTAGTAGCTGTTCTCTACTTGCTTTACTTGTAAAGGATTAACAAGCACACCGGTAAAAAGAAAGGTGTGGGCACCTGACCAAAAGAGCCAATAGGAGGGCTAAACTTTTTAAAATGGGAAAAAAACTTCCCTTTGTCTGTCTGTGGTGATCTCTGGGAAGGAGGGGAACAAGGAGCAATTATGATATGAGAAGCTTTAAGCCAGGTATGATCAAAAATCATCAGATCATACCTAGAATTACATATTTGGAACTCCCAAATGTGTAAGTAAATTAGGAATATTTAGAAAGACGTGATTAGGTTTATTTCTTGGCTTGTGGACTCCTCTGTGCTAACCCCAGATGCTTTTGTTTTGCTTTAAGCTGAACCTCAAGAGAGCTATCTTGCTTAATTTTTGTAATTGTTTCTTTTAAGCCTAAATTCCAAATGTATTTCCTTTCTTTTTGTTTTTAATAAATTTTACCTTTTTTAAGAACAGGATTGGATTTTTGGGTCCCTAAGAGGTTTGTACATATGTTGTTTAATTAGCTGGTGGCAACAGCTGATTTCCTTTGTTTTTTTTCCTCAGCTCTTCCCTGGAGGGGCGGTGAAAGGGCTTGAGGGTATCCCACAGGAAGGAATTTCCAAGTGTTTCTTCCTGGGTTCTCAAACGGGGTGGGGGTTTTCACTTAGGTGGTGGCATCGACCCATCCAAGGTTAGAGAGAAGCTGTGACCTTGGGAGTTTAATACCAGACTGTAGTGGCCAGTATTAATTTTTTTAATTCTTGTGGGTCCCCACCTTCTGCACTCAAACTGGCAGAGTGGGGAATCAGCCTTGACATCTCCCAATTTACGAAGTCATATTCAGATAATACTGCCTGCTGATTCGAAATGCACATTTATAACAATGTGGTTGAACAAATTTTTCTTTCCATCAAATTTAACCAATCAGACTCTTTGGCCTGGTCTACACTAGAGTTAGGTCGACCCAGCTACATTGCTCAAGGGTCTGAAAAATCCATACCACTGAGCAACGTAGTTAAGTCGACCTAACCCCCAGTGTAGACAGCGCTAAGTCAATGGAAGAATTCTTCCGTTGACATAGGTACTGCCTCTAGTGGATGTGGATAACCTATGTTGATGGGAGAACCCCTTCCGTTGGCGTAGATTGTGTCTACACTGAAGCACTAAAGTAGGGCAGCTGTAGCATGCCGCTATAGCATTTCAAGGGTAGACAAGCCCAAAGTCTTTAGGCAGGGATTTATATCTCCCCTGAGATAGTCTCTCATTTGCCACTATTACAATAATAGTTTGGGGCTGGATGTGAAAAGCACTCAAAACCCTGCATAGGTACATAATACCAACTACAGCAAAGCATACTGACAAAAGGTAAGGAAACTGGGGTATGACACAAAATCTTTGCAAGTTCCAAAAGTGCTTCATTTATTGGGAGAGGAATCCCGGAGGAATCAAAGTCTTTCAGGAATGGTGGAAAATAGTGCCAATAATGGTGACAATTCTGCAAGGGCACAGAAGAAGCCACTGCAGCTGAATGCTCCTGTATTAATAGAGAATCAGGAACTAGAAAAGCATAGCAAGTCCAGCACTACCTGACACATCAGTGGGGTGGAAACAGTTGGTGCCAACACCGATGTCGTTGATACCAGACTCAATGGATGCCCACTGATGGCACTGGAGTCGACGGTATGGTGTCCAACTGATCTTGATTCAGTACCAATGAGTGGGTAGATGGGGCAGCTCTATTCAATCTGCAGAGGTTCCCAGCACCGAAGCAGGCATAAAGTGTTGTTTCCGGTGCAAGTATCCAGCCACCTATGTTCTCTTTTTGAGCAACTTACAGATGGAGCACTTTTCTTTATTGTGCCCTTCCCCAGGCACAATAAACACGAGTGTGGGGTCACTATTAGAGACAGCCACCCAACATGTCAGGCGGTGTTTAAAACCTGGTGAGGGCATCACACCAGGCTAAATCCTACTTAACTAACTACTACTAATTAACTAAATCCTAAGGGCACTACTATAACTAAATACATACACAAAATCATAGGAAAGCACTGACAGAAAACATGATATTTGATACCACAGAGAATTCTCCAACTCAAGCTGCAGGCAGTGAAAAGGAACTGAGGGAGGTCAGTGCAGAGCTGCATTTAAATAGCTATGGGAGAGGCTATGAAAGGCCAAAGGAAGCGAGTGCCACCCCAAAAGGGAGTGCTAAGCAAAGTTCTCCAGATTCAGTACACTGGGCGTGTGCACACCTGGGAGGAATGTCTGCAACCATTTGAAGAAATAAGATTTCAGTCTGCTCTTAAAAAAGTATTCAATGAACCACTATTTCTACTATTTGAAATTAAGTGAATTCTATAAATGTTGTGCATATCCAGAAAGTGCCTTTGCTCACAAGGATTCTAATTTACATAAGAAAACACTTAGAACTCTGATCAGAGGGAAGAAGGGAATTGGCATCTCAAAAGGGGCAATGAAGGTCTACCTTACACTTCAGGGGCAAGATCCTCATCCCTACTCTAGTCACTTTACAAAGAGTAAAAGGTCTGGAGCATCCTAAAGGTGCCCTAAAAGCCCTGTATCTGGCCATGGAAGAATTCCCCTGGTACAGACACTGTGGAAAGGCTGCTTTCCAAGGACTCCTTGCAAGCCCTGGCATAGGGGATAAACCGGGGCAGATGTGGTGAGCAGCATTTCAGGGGCAGGCCCATAACATGCAGTGCTGCAGAGTCTGCAGTCAATAGGGCAACCCAAAGAGGCTGCTATAACTTAGACAGGCCCCAAAGTATGCTGACATTATGCTCCAGCCCTGGGAACAGTCCAGGGTTGGGAGAGTGCAAAGATGACTTATAGCCACTTTAGCATCCACTCCAACTGGGCTGAGAGTCCAGTGTTATGACTCTCAGAGATCAGCACAGAATCTTGCCCCAGGATCATAAACTAAGTATAACAGTTAGATAAAGATGCTGCTATTATTACCTGTCTTATAGTATCTCCTTCCTGATTGCTAATAGTTATCATTTTGTCTTCACTACCTAGTGCCAGCAGATTTTCAGTACTCCAGCAACCACAAGTGATCCGCTTGGTGTGTTTACCTGAAAAACAGATATATATTTAATTTATACGTATAAAAAAACCATACAAAATTAGAGATGGAAATGTGGCCTCTAATTCATAACCCAGCCTATGCAGGTTTGAGCCCTACAATACACACATTTTAAAAAAAACATTAAAAAATTAAAGGAAAGATTAATGTAATTCAAGTATGTACATTTTTAGAAAACAATTAGGGTGTGAAACAAAAAACTGACATGGTGAAAATTCAAGAAGGCATGATAGCCAGTGGAAAATATTTGTTATCAAAGTTTGTTTCTTGTTAAAAAAAAAAAAATACCCCGAGAGGGAAGCCTTTGTATCTTTATGGAACCTTAAGGAACTTCTCATCTTCCCACTTGATTTGCATCAAACCTCTCAAGCCATTTATGGCAGCCACCATTTTCCAGCCCAAATGGAACTCTGAAGTTTATTGATGTTTCTCCTCAAATATACCATAGGAAAGATAGTTAACAACATGAAAAATTCCACAGCCAATTTTCTGGCTTGTGGAGCAAGGGAGACAATTTAATCCAAGTTTCCCACATGGCAGCACAGAACTTTGCCACTAGGTCATCACAGAGGTGTTTTACAAAGTATTCTATAAGAAAGCATTCTAGTAAGAATAATAAATCAGAAGTAGCCATTTGAACAAGGGTACATTTTGGAGTTACAGTTATAGATTATTATATTTTTACACTGAACACAAAGTAATCTTAACACTATGAGTAAAATTTTGCTCTCAGTTAGAAACATACAAACCCTCTGAATTCAGTATAGTACATACCAAGGACAGGAATCTTGCGAGAAGTCTGTCGGTTATAAATAAGCAAGTTTCCCTTAGTTGTTCCAACAGCAAGTAAGGCTCCAACTTTGGACCAAAGCAAGAAAGACATTGGGTCTCTGAAATGTTAAAAAACACAATAAAATCATCTTATATGGCATATCAGTGAGTTTCTCTTTTAAACTTAAAAAACAAGCGCATTGTTAACTATAATTATTTGTTTTGTATTTGCACAGTGTTGTGTAAACCTGAGCTAAATTTTTTAATTCATTTGTTTAGGGTGAGTTTGCCACTTTCAGACTTGCTTAAGCATTCACTAAATAGCGATGAACTGGGGGGTGAGGGGGAGGGGTGGGGGGAGAAAGCTAGTTTGTTTAAATATTTTGATGTGTACAAATGCTAAAAGTGGGCATCTGTCCATAAGCTCTAAGCATAATCAAGTTGACAAATTTCTAAGAAATGTTTAAAAAGATGGTGCTTTTCTGAATTTTTTTGTATTTTAACGGTGTAGTTGGGACTGATCACATGACTGTATTCACATGGTAGATCATAGTTCTTTGATTTACAAACTATCCAACGTAGTAAGAAAAGCTTAGCAGAAGCTATTTTTGCTTTGAGTTTCAGATAGAGGAAGACTGTGTTTTATGTGACTTTTGAAGAGTTAATACAAAAAGCTAATATTTTAATTGAATTTAGTAAAAAGATAATATTATTTCAATCTCCCTGCAGCCTAACCTGTCAGCCAAGCCTGAGTCCTGATATTTCTGTTGCATTTATATTGTTGTATGCAATTAAGTATGGCTTCCTTACGGATACAGTCCCCCTCATGTAATTGGATTTTAGAATTGATGTATGTAAATGCCCTTGAAGGAAATTTTGTCTGTTTTATTATTAGTTTAAAAAGTAATAAACATGAAGAGCATAATAAATGGTAATAGAAGCAGAAGTACTAAAGGAATAGATATTTCTGTAACAGGGGCTGCTCATATCCCAGCTACGTAGACTGGATGGACGTAAAGTAACAGCGAGCAAAATAAGATGCATTCAGAGTCTGTGACTGTTAATCAGGATCGAGTTTCTGATAAGTCATGTGAAGAGGAAAATATTTTTTCTGTTGCTGATGAAAGACTCTGGGGGCAGGGACTTTATTATCGTATGTGCTTCAAAGATACCTAGCACATGGTGGGTGCTACTGCTATGTAACTAATAATAGATGGAGACTCTCTCAGGATTTAGGCACTGTTGACATTCTTTTAAAAACACAAATCATACCATAAAAAATATCCAGCTGCAAGCTCCACCATATACACCTCTACCCCAGTATAACACTGTCCTCAGGAGCCAAAAAAAAATCTTACTGTGTTATAGGTGAAACCACATTATATCGAACTTGCTTTGATCCGCTGGCGTGCGCAGCCCCGCCCCCCCGGAGCGCTGCTTTACTGCATTATATCTAAATTCATGTTATATCGGGTTGCATTATATCAGGGTAGAGCTGTATCAACAATGATCAGCTAATCTTTACAGCAACAAGATTAGATATTACCCTTCAGCAACACCTTACCCACAAAAGCTGTATTGAAAGATCTTTGCAATATACCTGAAGGTCAAGAGATTCATCCTTTTTAGAACTTGGGTGTGGGAAACGAGTTCCAAAGTTGAGGAACCCTTAAGGAAAGTGCCTTCCCAGCAGCAACCTCTGTTTTAAACTGAATGGATTCCAGATCAAGTGTTTCTATTGATCCCAATTTTGGCAGTAGCATGTCGTGGGGAAAGAGGTAATCTCTCAAGTAGACTGGTTGAGGCCATTTAGGGCATTATAGACCAAAACCTACAGAAATGCTCTACCTTGAAACCTGCAGATAGCCAATTAAAACTACAAAACACCAGTGTAATGTCCTTGCGGCAACATACCTCACTCAAGAAGCAGGCTGCTGCATTCTGCATTAGTTTCAGCTTCCAAATGGGTTTAGGATGTAGCACCAAGAAAGGCATACTGTACTAGTATGATTCTTGACACGCGTTTTACATTTTACAAGAAGAGTTTTTCTTACCTCATGCCACCGTCCACCTGGCTTGTTTTGTTTGTGTTGGCATCCCACAGATAAATGGTACTAGATTTGTCAGCAATTATGGCTAAGGTGTCCCCATCTTTATCCCAGTCCATAGCAACACAGTTGCTTAAGAAACAAAGAGAAAGAAGAAAATAAACTTTACTAGGGATTTTAAAAGTTTATGAGGGCCTAAACCAGACAAAATTATACAGTCAAAATGAAGCCCCTGACCCAGCTCCTCCCCTCCTAAAAAACCTGAGACAGGATGACACATTCATGTTACGTAAACCTGAATCTTCAGATAGAAGTTGCACCCCAGCTCTAATCTCACACAAGACTATGAGCCCTTCCTACCACTTGTGCCTCCAAAGGGGGTCCCAGAGCCCTGATCCCTTGCTGGGCCCCGGGGCTAGACGGCCCCTTCCAACATACTCTGGATCTTTAAGGGACTCCAAGCTGTCACCCAACCTTATAGTTTTTTGGAGGTGACCTGATGTGGACAGCTCTCTCCCTAGTTCTCAGAAGGGTATTAAGTTTGGGACAGAAGTCCACATGGAAGCAGGAAAATGCTCTAGTTGCTGTTCCCACAATGAGCACAGGGGCAGACATACCCCCACAATCTCTAGCATAGGAGAAATAAGACTAAGGAAGGGACATATATTAAGGATTATAAACAACTCTGCTTATGCACTGGGTATGTTTTCCTGCTGCACTAGTGCAGAGAAGGGTTGGGCACCAAAGGCTCTTATTAGAACTGGAAGAGACAATGGATCATAATGAACAAATCCTCAAAGACTGTGCAGAAGAAAGAGGCCTCTTGGGGTAATTCTGCAATTAAAAACCCTTGGCTGGCCTGTGCCAGCCGACTCAGGCTAAGGGGCTGTTTAATTGTGGTGTAGACATTCGTGCTCAGGCTGGAGTTTGGGCTGTAGGACCCTGGGAGGTGGGAGGGTCCCAGAGCTCAGGCTGCAGCCCAAGCCCAAATGTCTACACTGCAATAAAACAGCCCCACAGCCCGAGCCCTGAGAGCCAAGGTCAGCTGGCACAGGTCTAAATGCAGTGTCTAACTGCAATGTAGACACACCCTCAGTGTCCCTTACAGTCCCAGGGAGGGCAGAGTGGGCCACTCAGTTCCAGGAGCCCAGCTACATCCCTGAAGACAACAAAAGGATGGATTCTGGCACACAGGTGTTTGTATAAATGTTAGCAGCCCTGGCATGTGCATCAAGGTAGATTTGTGTGAACACAACAAAACCTGAACCAACCCTGATTTTAGATAGAGTCTGCGTATTATATTGACTGTTTGCACATCTCTAATCATAAGGCAAGCAACTCATAATGTATAGCAGGCATCTGGTTACTTGTTCTAGACTCCATCTGCTAGTATAGGGAAATAATTTACTGTTTGGCTGCCAGAGGGACATTTATCAATTAAATATGTAAAAACTGCAGTGTCTAATCTTCGCAAAATCATTCAGAACACAGCTTTTGCTGTCATGAATGCTTCAACATCTTTGGTTTTTAACTATCTGAAAATTTTTTTTACACTCTTCTACCATGGACCTTATCTCTCAACCATTGTTCTTTGGTAAAAAATGTACGGTATGCAAAAAGAGTATTTATCTTCTTTTCTCCCACTTGCCTGAATTTAGGATAGTAAATGTGGCCTCCCATAAGAAACTTCAAAGGATGTCTCAATCCCCAGCCACAGTAGCATGCAGCATTCTGGTGAGCAGGAGGAATAAATGGGAAGGGAAGCACTAGCGGCAGTGTAACCTAGGGGACACCACACTTGACTGGGACTCAGGAGATCTGGATTCTATTCCCAGCTCTGTCATTGGCCTGTTGGGAGACCTGGAACAAGTCACCTTCTCTCTCTGTGTCTCAGTTTCTCTATCTGTAAAATGGGGATAATGACACTGCCCTCCTTTGAGATCTACAAATGAAAAGCACTGAATAAGAGCTGGGAGTTTTTATTATTATTATTATTAGACAAGAGTGCAGAAAAAAAACAAGAAAGCAAAAAAGAAAAATAGTATATAAGAACAGAGACAAACAGACAAGAGAAAATGAGAAATATAATTGAAGAGATGGCGCTTATGACATCTTCTATTCGGACAGAAGAAACTTGGGATTCTGAACTCAGTTCTCAAAAGAGGAGAGGTCCCAGACAGAGTAAGAAGGCAACAGACAGAGTGACCACAGCACTGTTTGACTGAGCCGGAGTTCTTTCAGGTAAGTGTCCTTGCTTTTGCTTGAACCCTATGTGACAGAAGTGGAGATGCTCTGTAATCATTTCTGAATACTGTATATTGACCTGGTTATTAGGATGTTTACTTATTAATATGTTGATTTAGTTTAATAGGGCAGTTGTCAGGAAAAACAAGCTGATAGGGAAACAATGGCTCAATATAAGACACCCTTCAGTAAACACATATGGGTTGTTAAGAGACAATACATGAACTATTAACTTTGAAGATTCTACTTCCTGGCTCCAACCAACTTACATAGCCAAGGCCTGGGAACCAAAAGGACTATGGAGTTTAAAAAGGACCATTCTCAAGAGTGAGGGGAGAACTGTTGGGGAGTTGTTCAGGGGAACCAGGCACACAGGAACTGCGGTGGTGTCTGAAAAAAAGTCAGGCTGCCTAAAACTACCTCAGGGGATGGTAAGCCTTTAGGTTGGACAGACATGCATTAGACTATTTGTTGTTTTAAAATCCCTTTTCCTCTAAATACGTTGCTCCCACTGCAAAAAACAAACAATAGTTTTGTTTTAAGGAGGTATTCTGGTCACAGACTCCCAAAGAGAAGAACCAGAGTCAGACTTGCACAGTTGATACTCAGGGTGGGCTGTAGCCCATGGCCTGGTGTAAGAGTGGGAGAACTGTGGAATTCTACCCCAGAATAGGTGGAGATCTGAAACCTGAGAGGAGATATTCTGAGAGACCAGAAAGAGTACAAATGTATAGCTAGTCCTGTAACTGTGAAACCTATACTCAATTTGGGTTGTTATTCTTGGCGGAAAAAAATGTAGTCTAGTTTAAGGGCAGCAACTAATTGCCATGGTTGAAACTGCTGTTATTTAACTGCTTCTTCAGCAAACAATCAATCAGATTGTAAATTAGGTTCAAGTTTAATATTAAAAAGACACTCAGATTTAGGCTATGTCTACACTGCATTTTCATCAATAAAACTTTTGTTGCTCAGAAGTGTGAAAAAAACCCACCCCCTTGACTAACAAAAGTTTTACCGATGAAAAGTGCCCATGTGGACAAAGCTTTGTCGGCGTGAGACACTCCTCGCTGATAAAGCTTCTGCCCCTCGTTGGGGGTGGGTTTATTTTGTTGGCAGCAGAGCTTTCTCCTGGCAACAAAAAGCGCCTACATTGTGTGCCTTACAGCGGCAAGGCTTTAGCGGCACAGCTATGCTGTTCAGCAGCATAGCTGTGCCGCTAAAGCCTTGCCGCTGTAAGGCACACAATGTAGGAGCTGTGCAATGTAGACATAACCCTAGAGTTAGGCTCTTTGAAGTAGGTGTAATACTAGGTTATTTGAAACCAGACTTCAGAAGACTGAGCTAATCATCAATAAGGCCATGATTTAGTCACAGAAGTCACGGAAGGTCGTGGGAACCCCCAAGCTCCCGGGCAGCGGCAGGGGAACCCCTGAGCTCGGGCTCCCAGCCCCTACGGGAGCAGGGGACCCCCAGAGCTGCAGCAGCAGGGGTACCCCTCAGGCCCTAGCTGCTGCAGGCAGCTCCTAGCCCCTGCGCCACTGCCCCCCTTCATGCCTGTGGGGATCCGCAGATCCCCATTTTGTCCCGATATTTTTAGTAAGAGTAATGGACAGGTCACGGTTTCTGTGAATTTTTCCTTTTTTGCCTGTGACCTGTCCGTGACTTTTACTAAAAATATCCATGACAAAATCTTAGCCTTTGGAGGTGCTAAGACCTTCAACCTTTGTTCAAGGTAGATGCATCTACAGAGTTAAGAAATGAATGAACGTATACACAAGCAATTAGACACCCGGGGCTGGCCCAGGCCAGTTGACTCGGGCTCGCGGTTAAGGGGCTGTTTAATTGCAGTGTTGACGTCTGGACTCGGACTGGTGCCTGGGATCTAGGACCTTGTGAGATGGGAGGGTCCCAGAGCTCGGGCTGCAGCCTGAGCCTGGAAGTCTACACCGCAATGAAACAGTCCTACAGCTTGAACCCGAGGAACCCAAGTCAGCTGGCATGGGCCAACTATGGGTTTTTCTTTGCAGTGTTGACATCATCTGGGGCCTCTCAGGGTGACTGAGAACAAGGGAGCTTGGACTGACTGGTAGTCGGTCACAGAGGGCAAGAAAGCTCTAAATTGAACTGTTATCACCTGGCAGACTGAGGAATTAAAAACTGAATAATAATAAAACCTTTTCCTTGAATAATTAACAGACCACAACAAAGTTAAATTCATTTCTAATCAGAGTTAAAACTCAGTCTAGCTATGAAGGTAAATCAGTAGCAAACTAGCCAGGGAGGGCACTAACCAATTTGTTGCAGAGTGCAAAATGTATGAATGACTATTTGCTTTGTGGCCAAGTGGCGTACATACACACCCAATACAAGCAGCTCATGGCTATCAGAGCCATCAGAGCCCGTGTACAGCATCCTGAGCACAGAGCTGCTGAACTGGAAGAGCAGTGACAGATGGAATTGTTTATAGACTCTGCATATAGGGACACTGGAGTAGGCTCACCTCAGAACTGACTTCCACAATCGTCCAATTGAGGAAGCCAGACTCATGGTGGAAGGGGCACCAAGGTGGAATGGAGGAACATACCCCCTTAGATGGGACTCCCCTTCCGACTGAAATAGTAGAGACTGACAGCTCCTCATGTACTGAGTAGGTCATTCCAGGGGACTGAATTAGTGGGGAGAGAAAAGATACCTCTACACTGCAGCAAAACAAACAAAACAAACAAACAAACAAAACAACAAAACAAAACAAAAAAAACACACCACACACACCAAACAACAACAAAAATGTAGCAGCAAGTCTCAGTGCTCAGGTCAACTTAAGCTTGCACTATGGTGCTAAAAATTGCAGTGTAGATATTCCCACTTGGCCTGGACCCTGGGCTCTGAAACCTGGGAAGGGGGAGAGGGTCTCAGAGCCTGGGCTTCAGGCTGAGCGAGAACGTATACACTGCTGTTTTTTTAGCCCTGTAGCACAAATCTGAGTCAGCTGACGCAGGATCAGACTGCTGCTGCAGAAGTTACTTTGCAGCGTAGACATACCCAAAGACTGATTGTGGTGACAGAAGACTGATCATGAGAAATGTAGACAGTTGGCGACCATCAGAACAGCTTGGTGACTTCGCTACCAGGTGAAAAGATGGCAGACATCATGAGCTATCTAACCAAACTGCAGGTGAGCACTGGGGAAGAGCCTGTGGTTGTGGTATGTATTGGTACCAATGATGTAGGAGAGAGGTCCTGGAAGCTAAATTTAGAATACTAGATAGAAGGCATAGGTCCAGGGCATCAGTCTTAGCTTTTTCTGAACTGCTTTGAGTTCCATACACGGGTCCATCTAGGCAGAGGGAACTTCAAAGTATCACTGCATGGATGAAAAGACGGTGCAAAGAAGAGAGAAAGTTTTCTAGGTACTCGGGAACATTTGGAGGAAAGGGAAGCTATAGAGAGGGCAGGAGACCACCTTAATTAAAATGGAACCAGACTACAATGGAATAGAAAATAAATAAGATAACAGTTTTGGGTTGTTGACATAACATGAGTAGATGGTGTGAGATAGAACTGAAGTGAAGAAAGTACTTTTATACAGTTTTTGAGATGAAGTTTGGACTTGAAATAAAGTTTTTTGGTATTTTAAATCTTTTTAACCTGTCACTTTTGTTATACATTTATATATTTTAGTAATGAACTATTTATGTGGGGTCCTAAAATTCCGGTTAAAAGTATCTCTTCCCTTCTTTTGATGAAAAGTATAGTTAAAGAATGTTTTACGTATAAGGATACATATAATTTGTTCCTGATTTTTCATGGCTATTGTATTATGAATTCAGTTTTGCCTCAGATTACTTATGCATCTTCCACAGATTACTTATATGTATGCATGTGCCATTAAAAGTATGTGGTTTTTTTTGTTCAAGAACATGTTCCAAACCCTTGTTAGTTCTTACCTTGGTAAGTTAATTTCATTTCTCTTCTGACCATGACGATCAAAGATTTTTACAGTGTGATCAGCTCTAAAAACACAGAAGATGAATTCAGTCTTTTTGTACACTTGCAAATATCCTTAGAGATGTCATAAAAACTTTTTCCATTAATCTTTCATGCCATGTTGATGTGGCTCATGAGTTTTATCTATTGATATTTCCAGGGGATAGGTACTTACTGTGACATATATTATGGATATATGCAGTGTTGTTGTAGCCATGCGGGTCCCAAGATATTAGCGAGACAAGATCGGAGAGGTAATGTCTTTTATTGGACCAACTTCTGCTGGTGAGAGAGGCAAGCTTTCAAGCTTACACAGAGCTCTTTTTTAGGTCTAGGAAATATACAGCTTGCTTCTCTCACCAATAGAAGGTAATCCAATAAAAGATATTATGGACATATGGAATAATAAAAAGTTATTGTATCAGCTTTATAAGTCTTATATGTATGTTTATGGGTTAAGGATTGTATTCTGGCTCCATGGGGGAGTTACAGGGTTTCCTACAAGAACTAAATCACTGGGAGGTAATTAATGCAAATGCCTAGGCAGGTAGCAAGTCTGGAGGAGACTCCGCTCCTGACAGAAACTGCATATACACAGCCTTGGCAGGATTTGATTGAATTTGATAGATGAAGTAAACCTCGATTTCAGCTGACACACTGAAATTTGACCCAAACAAACAAAAACAAAACAAACAAAAACCACCCTGTGCACCTTGTCTCTGCAGGTATCACATGTCACCAGTCCTCAGGCAGGGCAGGCAACCCCACTGTCATAGCTTTCTTACTCAACAGCTGGGAGTGCAGGAGCCATTCCTAGGCAGAAGCCATTCAGCAGCAGAGTAGCCTCCCCTGTGGCCAGGGGCTTGTTTCCCATTTTAGGCAAAGGGTCTCTACTTTGCATGCCCTGCCAGAACTGCAGCCTTCCCCACATCTTGCGTCTTCAGGGATCCAATGTCACTGGCCCTGCAGGAGCACGGGAAGCCCCAGGCAGCCCTTCTGTCATAGAAGTGAGGCCATGACATTGCGGTGGCAGAAGGCTCACTATGCTACCACAGGGCTTGTGACACTTGATTCTTGCTGGTGCAAGCTGTGGAGAAGGCTGCGGTCCTGGATGGGCAGAGCAGAGACCCCGAGCTAGTACTGCAAGGATGATGTACTGGGGGGGAGCTCTGTCCCTGGGCAGGAGCCATTCGGCAGTGGGGTGGCCTCAGGCAAGGGGCTTGTCCTGTTCCTCATAGCTCTGCAGAGGAGTCTCTGCTCTGCCAGGACTGCAACCTTCCCCGCACCTTGCACCTGCAGGAATCAAACGTCAAAGGCCCTGCAGGGAATCCTCTGTGGCCATGACAGAGGAGCTGCACTCACTCACCCACCCACCTGAAACATAGGAGCTGTCCCTGGGATGGAATTGTTCAGCAGCAGGGTGGCCTCCCTCTGTGTCCCGGGGCTCATCCTTCTCCTTGAAGTCCTTGCTCCACCGGCTGAGGATGACAGCCTCTCTGGTATCTTTTACATAGGTGTCCTGGATCCCTCAGCTGTGCAGGGTGCCCCTGCAGCCATGTTGTCAGTCCTGGGAACCCCTTGGAGCCCCACTATTAGTGCTACCCTAATGCTAACCCTACCCTAATGCTAACCCAACCCTCCCCCTTAATTTCCAAGGATTGTAAAAATTAAAATTGTTAAAAATCAAACAAAAATCTTAAAACTAAAAATACATATTAGTTGCCTAAATTACAAAAAAAAAAAATTGAATTCTGCCAAATCTACTTATACTAGTTTGACCTAATTCAAAAACCTTGACAAACAAAGAAATTAAAACTATAAAAGTGCTGTTGGTCAATGGTTAACCCTATCATTGCCTGGTTGGTCACTAATTAACCCTGTCATTGCCCTTGAAAGAATAGGACCATAGGTGCTGAACTGAAGTCAGATCTACTGTGGTAATCACAGTGAATTACAGAAAGAATTGCAGCCAAACTCCCTGGTCTAGAGGTGGAGAGTTGCAGGACTCTATGGTGACAGCTGAGAAGCCTGAGACCTAAGTGGGGTGCCCTCAAGAAGGCCAAAAAGGGGTCCGAGATGTAAGTTACCTCAGGAACTGTGACATACACAGTGATAGTGAATATACAACATTAACAAAATGGTGAAAATAACTCAATTACCTCTACATACATATTAATAATATTAAAATTCTTCTTATCTTACCCTGTCACAGCAAGGAAGTTTCCTAAAGTTTTCTGCCAGATGAACTGCACAGGGGAACCAAGCAAAGCCTTTTCTAATAGAGTAAATACTCGCTGAGGGAAGAAAGAGGGGAATTACTAACTTAAAAATGGTAAGCATTGGAGAATATTAAACCTGCCTAGTACATATTAGTAAATATAACTAATATTCAGTACAAATAAAGTAAAAGATAGGCTTTAGGATAGACAATGTATAAAAGGGACAGAATTCTGTGGCAGGCCTTTTGTTATACATGGGAAAGTGAATTTTCATTACAGACACTTTAGATCTGGTGTTGAAAAAGTTCAGCATTGAAAACTTAAGACGAAAATAGTACAAATGCACTTTAACTTGTATTAGCATTTTTTTTAAATTTTAAGTTAGAGAATTCAGACTTTTGCAAAGATAGCACTTTTGATTGTTGCTACTTAGGTAAGAAAAGTAAAAGTACAAAACTAAACCAAGTAACTGAACTGTAAAATAAAATTAGCTTTTCTTTTCACACCTTGCATGTGTTAAAATCTGATGATTATTTATAAACCCACACAACTTTATTCTTTAGCAATATTGATAGTGTTGCCAACTCTTGTGATTCTACCACAAGTCTCACAATATTTGGTAATTTTCTTAAATTCATAGTTGCTAGTCTTAAGAGACTGCATAAGCAGCTCAGCTTTCATTTTAAAAAAAAGTACGTTTCTAGTACAGTGGATAAAAATCTAAAATTTTCTCAAAAAAAATCAATAAATGGGCTTTTCTTATTTAAATTGGATGTTTTATTTAAACTGGATTTTTAATTTTGTTTAAATTAGAAAAATTATACGTTTTTCTTTTTATACATAAAACCCTGTTTATAATGAAATCTTAATTTAATAAAAAATTTATTAAAGACTAAAATAATTGTAATCTCTTAAAACATTTAAATAAAAATAACTATACTGAATCAATTAAGTTGTGAAAAACTCTGAGTTAAAAGCTTCTTTATATAGAAAAGCAGTGGCTTTTTAATGCGTCTCCTGCAGCTCTTTGCAGCACGATATTAAAACACTGTGTGATTTAATTATTAACCAATCTAAGTTACTAAAAAATCAGGATGTTTTTACCATGTTAGTAACCAAGTGAAGTTGATAAAATACTTGGTCAATCATTTTGCTGTGAGAATAATATATATTAAATGAAAGAATGAATTCACAGTACTGTGGCTCTTTTGGGTAATGTTGATTACTAATTTGGCTCCTGAATCACTGAGGTCTCAGTATCACTGATATAAAGACAGAATTTGGGGAAAACATCTACCGGTAACTTTTGATGTCAAGTTTTATAAATATGGCACTATAGGTCAGCCTAAGTAATACAGGAGACAGGTGACTAGGAACATACACTCCAGTCACTTTCACTTAGGCATATTTGAAAATTTTCCCAGGCTGACCTGAAACAATCAGTTTAAATCACTGAGTACAGTTAATCCCTCTATTTAATAAATCACTTGTAAATATGAAACATGTGTTGATGAAAAGTTTATGTATCCAAAACATTTAATTTAAAAGTGGTTTTGTTTAATGAAAATAAATTTATATGCTGCTTTGTATGTTTAAGTTCATTACCATCCTAATGCAGCTTGACAAAAATCATGAGCAAAAAGTTAATTATCTAGTAAATAAACAATATATCTTTAATCATTTTCTAACATACTAAAAAATGTACAATTAAGAATCTGAAAGTACAATTTAGAGAATTTTTTCACTATTATAGTGTACCCTCCCGGGTAGCAAACAGATGTACCAAATTTACTTTAAGGCTCTATTTAGTTGTAAATCAATGTGTTTTAATGGTTATATCAATCAATGAAAATGTACCTTTATTTAGAAAATAATTGAAGTACAAATGGAAAAGTTATTTAAAATCGATGATTTAAATTGAGGCTTTCCGCTTAAATCACCTTGGTTTGTAGCCCTCGTGTTTGGAAGAGAAAAAAAAAAAGCTATGAAACTTGAAACTATGAAGCACCTTACAGGCTTAGAAATCAAAAGGCAAAGAAAAACAACCCAAAATTTATCATTTTAGAAGATCTCAGCTTTAAACACTTGAGGCTGGCAACACTATGTGTGGCCTGTGGAAGTTTCCCATTTGAAGTTCATTCTTTCAAAAAAAATGGACAGGTTTGACTTCCTTTGTGACCTTGGGCAAGTCACTGAGGCCCTGTCTATACTGGCAAGTGTCTGCGCAGTAAAGCAGCTTTCTGGGTTGTAACTCCCGAGGTGTACACACTGTGAAGCCACTTAATGCACAGAAACTGCGCAGTGGTAACGCTCTAAAAAAAACAGAACACCCCAACAAGAGCTTTCTGCGCCAGGGCTATGGCGCTGCAGTGCAAGTGTAGACACCGTGGCGATTACAGTGCTGCAATTGGCCTCCGGGAGGTGTCCTACAATGCCTGTTCTCACCTTTTCTGGTCACTGGTTTGAACTCTACTGCCTTGCCCTCAGGTGACCAACTGTCATCCCCCTCCCGTACATTCCTTTGCAATTTTGAAATCCCCTTCCTGTTTGCTCGGTGATGCGTGCAGTGGCCTCAGAGCATCTTTCCAGGTGGCCATACCTGCTCCACGCACCAGGCAATCCCCTGCTTAGAGCAATGCTGAGCTGCTGGACCTCATCAGCATTTGGGGAGAGGAGGCCGTGCAGTCCCAGCTGTACTCCAGCCGTAGGAATTATGATACCTACGGGCAGATTTAACGATGCATGATAGAAAGGGGCCATGACCGGGACACATTCCAGTGTAGGGTAAAAGTGAAGGAACTGCGGAACGCCTACAACAAGGCGCGAGAGGCAAACCGCCGCACCAGTGCTGCGCCCGCAAGCTGCCAGTTCTACGAAGAGCTGGACACGATACTCAGTGGCGACCCCACCTCCACTGCGAAGGCCCCTATGGATACTTCGTTGGCTCGTGTGCCAGTCAAGAGTAGACCGAGCCAGGAGAAGGAAAACTTGGATGAAGAAGAGGATAGGGACCCAGAGGTAGAGGATGACTTGGAGGCCAGAGATGCATGCAGTCAGGAGTTCTTTTCTACCCCAGAGGAGCCTAGCCAGTCACAGCAGTCGGATCTTGGTGAAGCGCATACAGGAGAGGAGGCCCCTGGTAAGTGGATCTGATTTTGGGAATTGCTGAAGCAGAGAGAACGCAGGGTTGGAGAAAGCAGGATTGTTCCATACCACATGCCTTGTCTGAGTGGCGGAACAGGCTGTTGATTGACTCCCTCACTTCATGGGGATCTCCCTCAGAGATCTCCAGGAAACTCTTGTGGAGATACTGGGCAATCCGCTGCTGCAGGTTCCTCGGCAGAGCTGCTTTGTTTCTTGCCCCATTAACGGTAACTTTTCCGCGCCACTTTACCATCGGGGGGGAGGAGGGAGCAGGGAGGGACCATTGCTGCACACAGGCAAGCTGCATAGGGGCCAGGGCAGAAGCCGCAGGCTTGGAGAAGATCCTCTTTTGATTCCCTGCTCACCCTCAGCAGCAAGATACCTTCCTGTGGAAAGTGTGGGGACAGGAATGATTATCAGGCCCCCCCCTACAGTGCTGGCTCTACCCAAGAGCCACGTGCCCAGTGTACAGCAGGGTCCAGGAAGAGTGATTTATCCTGTCCCTGCAGCTACTCACCATTTTGGGAATCTTGTAGTTCATGTGTGCTTGCCTGGGGTCAGCCAGTTAGCGACAGGTGTGAGAGTACTGGCTGTGTTTTAAAGCACGGAGTCAGTGCTGTCTGTGTTGCAAACAATACTGCTTCTGTAAAATGTTACATTTAAACTTCACAGAGATGATCCTGGGAACCCAGCCTACCTCTTTGTTATCAGCGGCAGAAAGGTTGCGCAGAATTAGAAAGCAGCCCCGAAGAACTAAAGGAGGACTTTCTCCAAGAGGTTATGATGCACTCCGCTGCCGAGAAACAGGAATTGAAGGAGTGGTGGGACACCGAGAAGAGGGACCAAAAGGAGAATGCGGCACACCAGAAAGAAGCCACAGAGTAGCTCTTAAATGTTATGGCGTGCCAAGTGGACACGCTCCAGGTGATACTAGCTCCTCAAACTGAGCAGCTCGGCGCCCGCCCGCCCCTGCAGCTGCTGTCGCAAAACTCTTTCCCATGGCGCCGCCCCCCCACCCACACACACACTCTTATCAACCTCCTGGCTCCACACTCTGCAGCATTCCACTCCTCCCCCCTCACAGTCCAGCACTGTGGACTCCCCCTACCCACTGCACTCAACACCCATTCCTCTGCAGTTTGGCCCTGCTGAAGTACAGCACCAGCTGCATTGTACTCCAAAGGAGAAGGCTGGGTATGATCCCTTACTTACACAAAGCTGTAGCCGTCCTGGGACCCCCCCTCCTCTTGAGACCTTCTCTTCCCCCCTCCCCCTCCCTGCTGATGAATTTTTTCGTTTCACTCTCTCCTCTGGTTGTTGTCTTTTAATAAAAGAATTGTGTTTGTTTGAGAGCAATTTTTATTCTATTAAGTCAGGGGTGGCCAAACTGTGGCTCCGGAGCCACATGCGGCTCTTCAGAAGATAATATGCAGCTCCTGCTAGGAGCTGACTCTGGGGAAAAATGGTGGGTGCTCAGCACCCACTGGCAGCCCTATCAGCCCCTCCTCCCTCCCCCAGCGGCTCCCCCAATCAGCGCCTCCTCCTCTCTCCCCGGTGTCTCCCACCCGCCGCAATCAGCTGTTTTGTGGCGTTGAGGAGGCTCGGGGCGGGGGGGGAGTGGGGGAGGTGGGAGGAGAGAGAGTGCACAGCCTCACCCCTCCCTCTGCACTTTAAAACTGGAAACTTTGACAAAACAAACAGATGTAGAAGCCGTTTTTCCACCAGATTTGCCAACTGATCGCCGACTGTAACATTAGCCTCCTATTACGTGGCCTGGCACATAGCGCATGCAAAAAAGCCCTTCCTACTCTGAAGGAAGCTTATAAAAATGTGCTTCTCTGATGTGATTTCAATCCTGTCACCAGAGAACGAGAATCCACATAAGAAAATTTCTGGCCTGCAGCTTTCATACCACACAAAAGAATGCAGAA